GACGCCATTTCGCTTAACGCCGTTTTCTGCGGACTCTGGTCACCTTTTATCTTCTGCTTTTTCTGACCGGGCGGCTGCCTGCTTGTGGGGCCTTCGGGCCGGGGCATGCCGCGTTCCGCACCAGGATACTCTCCGTCCAATGAAGGCAGCTTGGGCGACAGCGATGATGACTTTGTGCCTAGCAGCAATTCTGAGCCTGGCATGGAAGCAGATAATGGAAATGCAGCAGGCGAGGATGGGGGCACCTCCCCACCAGCTGGACCCCAACTGGAGATGGAACAAGGACCACGCCTGCCGCATGCGGGATTCCACAGGCCGATTTATCAGTTGCCGCATGACTACCCGCAGCTCCTGGAACGCATGGCCTGTACGGCCCTACGAGAGCTTTGCTTCTTCTACCTGGCCCAGCATCTGCACATCAGGTATCCGGATCGTCGCTCCTCGCAGGCGCGCTATCTGGCTCAGCGAAGAGCACGCGGTCACCAGGACCCTGGAGATGTATATTCCTATATCTTTGTGCAGCTTGAGGAGCCCAGGGACCAGCAACTGGACGAGGACTACCGCGCCCTTGCAGGCATCCTGGACCAGGGTATACCGGAAAATGACCTGGGCTGGATCACCCGCATTGGTGGCTCCACGGACCCGCCGCGCCATGTATTCCTGCAGCAACTGGCAATGCTCTTGCGACGCAGTCTGCGCCGGCATTTGCAGCCCTCCAGCGCGGACCATGTCTCAGCGCACATGGTGGAAGTGGCCCGGGAAATGGATTTGTTCTATATCCCGACTTTGCTTTCATTATATCCCTTGCTGGATGACAGTGGTAAAAGAGATTTCCAGCAGTGGTTCTATGGCTATACGGGCCAAGACCTCATGCAGGACGAGCGCCGGGAAACCTTTCCGATCCGGGAGCCTGCTTCGGGCTCGCGAGGCCCAGGAACCTGAGATTGGCCAGAGACAGCTGGACTTTGGGAGGCACCTCAGGCCCGGCAGAATGCGAGCAGCCCGAGCTCTACGTCGACCTCGCCGATGCCGAGTTCGTCGCTGCATTCGGCACACTCAAGCTTTCTTCGCTGCAGTGAGCTTTTTCCAAGCCTTCATTGAGAGCAGCTCTTTTGTACAGTTCTTTCAGTTTTTCAGTCCGGCACAGTTGCGCAGCACCCCACTCCTAAACCCAGCCCTGCACCAAGAAGACGGCCGTCCTGGTCCCAAGTCCAGGAACGGGAGGATGCCTAGGCTCAACTCAGTTGTTGTCGCCTCAATTGTGACCTTAAGCAACATCGGCAGTGTAGCTGCTATGCCATCTCCCGTAGACACGAGGGTTGGAGGCTCTCCACACCAGGAACCTCCTGAAGCACAATGTATGCCCTGCTTCAGTGGTAATAACAGAGCAAACCACAACGGTGTACTTCCCAATGTTCTAATAAATCCCCGCCCTGTACAGAAGCGAGCCTTTCAAAGGGCTCGGCAAAGAGCATCGCAACATGGCAGTGCCAAGTACCGAGGCCGTTGGATGAGTGCGAAGCAGCTAGGAGTACCACATAGCCCAACTGTCCCTAGACAATCTCAACCCACCCCCTGCCATACACCCAACAGAATCCATTACCTGTCTTGGAATGCAGGAAGCTTATCGACAGATCGAAACCTTGAGCTCAAAACCTGGCTAGACTCACCCGATGGACGTCATGTCAATCTCATAGCCGTGCAAGAGACTCACTGGCGTGGGCCCCTGGAGTACACTACAGACAGGTTCTATGGTATCCATAGTGGTGCTAATGTAGCTCAGGCTGGCATTCTCATCTTAATTGATAAGACCCTCTACACCTCAGTCCAGGTACAGCATAGAGAGGTTCTGCCAGGAAGATTGTTACATGTCAGGTTAGAAGGTGACCCATGCGTAGATGTGGTCATTTGCTATCAACACGCCTGGTCTCTTTCCAAAAACCAACAGGAGCGTGTTGCGCAACGGGACCAGCTGCTGAGCAAGCGGGCAGAGTTCTTAGCCAAACTGGCTCTCCCCAAACGTAATCAACTGCTAGTCCTGGGAGACCTCAACACGGATCTTAGTCCTGAAGGGTCTCATGTAGGCAGGGGGTTGTGTGCCCGCACGGGTCAGCACGCAGGAGACTCTTCTATGCTGCAAGATCTAGTTCGTAATCATGACCTGCTTGCTCTGAACACCTGGGGCCCGCGTGGCCACAAGGCGTGCACGTTTCTCCCTGCTGGGCCGACAAGACGCAGCCAAATAGACTTTGCCTTCACAAGACGTATGCAAGCAGATCAACTGTCACGTTGTGCCAGGCCGCAGGTTTTACCTTTTGTGCCGGCCACAGGTATGCGGCATCTTCCTATCTTAGGATGTATTCCCAGCCCCACCAGACCCCGCACTCGATATCAACCTCCTGCCCTGCAAAGACACAAAGTGCAACATACCTGCGCGGAGCATCCCGAAGTGGCTACCGCTTTTCGCATTGCTATGCAGTCCATCACAGCGGCGTGCCCGGATTTGCCCACAAACACATTGTTCAAGAGAGCATGGCAGCGTGCCACAGCACACTTGCCTACCTGCATAAGGCCCTCTCGACCTGACATCAGAGGCCAATCTGTTCGAGAACTCTGGAGACTTAGGAGTATTGTTAGGCAAGGCAGACAAAGGGCATGCCGCACGCTACGCGATCTCATGGCCAGATGGCGAGACCAGAGTGCGCTGCAGAAGCATCAGCGTGAGCTCCGCAAGCACTGTCGCAGACTAAGACATCAAAGATTGACCCAGCAACTGCAGGAAGCTGTGGGCCACGATGGTTTCGTTGGCGTCTTTCGCGTTCTTAGACTGTTCGCCCCCAAGCAGCCACGACGCAAACTGCAGCTGCGCACAAAGGACGGCAGACCGATGGATACCTCCACCACCCTGCAAACCATCCGAGATTTTTATCAAGACCTGTTTCATCAACACCCACAAACCATCATTGCCAGCAGTGCTCCGGCCTTCCAGGTAACATGGCAGCAATTGTACCAAGCGTTTAGTAGCCTGGCCCTCAATAAAGCCTTACCTCCAACCACGGCCCCAGCCCGCCTGTGGCGCCTGGCTGCAGATGTTCTTACGGACAAAACCTTGCCGGTTCTGAACCGCTGGCTTGCGCAGATGGACCGTCCGCCTCCAGAGGAGTGGCACATAGCTGATCTGTGTTTAATCCCGAAACCACATAAGCCTCTTACAGGACCCGAAGCCCTGCGCCCTATCTCGCTCATTCACCCGGTTTCCAAAGCCCTCTCCATGATATTCCATGATCATATTAGGCCCGACCTGCAGACCATTGTTGCGGACCTGCCTCAAATGGCGTACCTGGAGGGACGGTCGGTCCAAGATGCATTGGACCGCGCAGCAGCACACTGTGCCAGAGTGAGAGCTGTCTTGCACACGCAGCGACAGAATCCGCACCTGAGACGACAAGGGCACAAGTTGGATTACTGTAGAGGCGGGGTTTTACTTTCGGTAGACCTACGTCAGGCCTTTGATGTCATGCCCAGAGATAGACTCCGTGAGGCTATGCAACTTGCGCAGGTCAGCTCAGACGCTCAGCACGTCATACTGCAGCTGCATGCACATGCTTGTCTCCGCATAGCGCATGGACAATGCCAGACCACCCTGGACACCTCCAATGGAATACGTCAAGGTTGCTGTTTAGCTCCGGCGTTGTGGGTACTGTACACCAGCCTCATCATGACTTACCTCAAACAGCAATTGTCCATGCATGACACCACAGTTTATGCCGACGACTTTTTATTTCATTGGTTGGTAGACACCAGCGAGCAATTGGACCTGGCATTTAGTCATATTGCCTTTGTTATTCGCACCCTCGACCACTTTGGTATGCGGCCCAGCCCCTCAAAGTCAGCTGTCCTCTTAGGCCTTCGAGGTTCCCGCACTGGTAGCATACTTGCCCGACACGTCATCAAGGACCCCAAACTAGGTCGACTGCTCAGAATACCCTTGGATGGCAAGCAGGTGTGTCTTCCGATTGTCAAGCAGTGCCCATACTTAGGAGCCGTCCTTAGCTATGGACAGTTTGAGGCCCTCACCCTCAAGGAACGTATGAGGCAGTCTTGGAGTGCGTTCAACCGTTTGCTGCCGGCTTTACGCACCTCGGGAGTCAGCTTGCGCCATCGCGTTCTGACTTGGCGCACCTGTGTGCATTCTGTTCTTGTGCATGGACTCGACAGTTTTGGGCTGGCTCCGGGAGGTGCTACCAAACTACATAAACATGTAGTCAGGCAACTTCGCATCCTGAGTAAGTCGCCATCGTTTATCACTAGGGAGCCTGCCCAAGATTTACTTGCACGTCTCCAGGTCGAGGACCCGCTTCAGCATCTCATGCATCGCACGCAGCAACGCATTGCAAACTGCCGACAGAATGGTATGAGTCAGCTACAACCTCCTGCTGTGCACCAGTGGTGGAAACAGGTAGAAGAGGGACTGCGCGCAGCTGCTCATGATCCGATTCTGAGACAACATTGTGTGCCTCTGCGTGCACCAGCTCGCCTGGTTGCCCTCACGGCCAACGTGGCTCCTCGAGCATGCCCACACTGTGGCATCTACTTCACGAGCGTTCGCACTATGCGCATACATGTGGCACTTAAGCATCATGACCTAGCCACCCGCACCCCCGTCACACCAAGACCCTATGCTACAATGCGAGCGGAGTACATGTGCCATAGTGTGAATGGTTTACCCACATGTCGGCATTGCCAGTGGGATTTCTCCAGCTGGGCGTCATTTTGTCTGCATTTTGAGAAGGAGCGCTGCTCTGTGCTTCACCAGCACAGCCAAACGGCCCCAACAGCATCCTCGACCAGACCCGCAACAGAGGAACGTCGAAGTACCCCTGAGTACCCCACAAGTGCCGAACCTAAACCCGATCATCCGAATCCTATCCTTTGTGTCAGCCCGGACCCAGATGCACTTCAACCGGATAATGTAACACCTCAAACACATACCATACCTCCCTCAGAGTCAGAGGATGCTCTTGACCAGGCTTGCAGGATCTTGCCACATGTGCCCAGACTCTTCTGTCAGCTAGCTTTAAACGCACATTGGCGACTTTTAGCCGAACAGATCAAACAATCAGATCTGCATTTTTGCATCCTGTGTGGTCAGTGGCTCGCACATCCAGGGTACCTTTCACGGCATCTGAGTGCCCTGCATCCTGAAGCCTATCGGCTGCATGACGCTGTTTTGCAGTGGCTCCAAGATCGCACGCCAGTGCTCCAAAGCCCCTGTTGCTTCTGTGGAGACAACTACAAGGCCAGACATTGCAGCAGACCTAGACATGCCAAGGAGTGTCCCACACTGTATCGCACAGGACTCATTCTTAAACTCCTAAACCGACCCACCCCAGTCTATACCATACAACAGGCCCTCCAGCATGGAATCCAACCAAGACATCATCCGGGAGAGCGCGGCAGAGGTGGCTTCGCAGGAGCTGATGTCAGCGAGAGAGCAGGCGGCCCTCCTCTCGTCCATGATGAACAAGAATCCCAGCACCCCTCCGACGCTCCGAGCTCGACGCATGCCGCGAACCCCTCCGAAGCCAGCACTGGGCCCCACACGCCAGCGAGACCAAGCGCCAGGCGGACCTCACGGAGCAGGAGTTGCAGGACACCTCGGGCGGCAACGGCAACGGCAAAGGGGGGGACAAGTGGCCCCGCTCGCAGAGCAAGGGCAACTCCCGCGCATCCGACGGTGGTTGGGGACGAGACCACCGAGCACCTCAGCGCCGCTACCGGCAGTGGGACTGGGACAAGGACAAGGACAAGGAGGACAGGACCTTCGACCGGGCGACGGATCGCAAGCTCTACGAGCTGTGCCTGGCGATGAGCCGGTTGATCATGAGACACGAGGACCAACTGTCCATCAACAGGGCTCAGGACAACTTCGTGATGTTTGCCCAAACACAGGGAGTTTTGTCGGCCGTCCCGGAGCTCCTCAAGGCCACCGAGGCTTGGAGACAGATGAAGAAGGAGCAGCCGGAGATCATCACCATCCCCCTGAGGACATGGCTGCTGAAG